TGCACGAGGTTGCCGAAAGTGCGAGTTTCTTGCACTCCCAGCTAAACATTCTATGACGATCAAGTATCGCGGTTTTCTATTTTCTCTGTTTATATCAAATTTCTTCGTACATATGAATTTTTGTCAATATGACAGAATTTGAAGTGACATTTAAAGTAAATAACAAGTTGCTGTCATTAAAACTACAACCAAGCGAAATAGAATTATACAAGAAATTGATAAGTAAGTGTGCATTTTGAGGTTATTCGTAGAATCTTGACAAAGATGCAGTTGTTCTTTTTTTGGAATTTTATTGCAGGAAAAATAAAATGACAGGAAAACGAAAAGACTAATAGATATTATTTAAGTATATGTAGTTTTTTTTTAAATAAAATTTCAAACATGGTAAATCTTTATTTAACTGATTGGAAATGATACTGTCTATATTCGTTGCTTAAGTAATAACTGTTTTTACCAAAAATGTGTACCTTTATGCTTGCAAAACATATTTCAATTGTTTAAAAATATATTTTTTTAATGTCTACTCTGATTATTATAGATGATGCTTACAGCAGACAGTATATAGAACTCCTGGTTAAAAATAAATTTCTTATATTAGACCGTGAAGATCAAGAAATTCTGTAAATATCTCGGATAACTGAAAATAAGTAAGTAAAGATAAAATCAATTGTATGTCGGTATCAATCTTTTGATATAAATTAAAAATAATTTTGTACACAATCTTGCCTTTTCTTCTCGCTGAAATAATCAAAGTTTTATGTAATTTAAATAATTATCAATAAAAAATAAAGAATGATATATTTAAGAATATCTATTTTATTGCAGAGAACAGTTGATATTCCATAGGAACTTGGCTCATAATTTGGACTACAGTGATCGAGGTCAACTATTAACTGTGCATAACAAAAAAAATGAAGATACACAGTCAACATTCGAATCTTCAACATTCGAATCAGAAAATCACATTGAAAAAAGTTGCGGTAAATGTATTTCATTAAAGCAATATTAATATAAATTACTTGCTATTGCAATACCAGTACAATGTTATAATGGGAGAATTCCGTTTGCCTACAATCCCGATTGCACATATCACTCATATCAGCTGGTGCCTAGTAATTTTGTACTACTTTACTAATGAGAATATTTTATTTTTAAATTGACCAATTAGCGATGCATGTGTGCAACATGCAATGTGTGCAAACTTCCCGTTATAATAGCATATTATAATACATGTTGATTTTTACTTTCATATAGAAAATTTGCACAATAGTTCTAATAAGATTTTAAAAGTGATTTTAAAAAAAGAGTTTATTATATAATTTATATTTTAGAAATTATTTTATATTCAGAAAACTGCATAAAACGTTTATTATGCTATTGCAAAGAAAATGCAATTTATTAATATTATATGCGTTAATAATTTCTAATGCCATACTAAATCTAAAATTACAATATATAAATTGTTATTTAGATTTCTGGAGTAATTCAGCTACATCGTTCATGTTGGATAAATATGAAACATACTTGGCCAATATTGGTCCTATGAAGAGATTTAAAACAAAAAAACAGATGTGGTTATAAATATCAAAAGATATGACAGAAATGTTAAATATTTCAAAAACTCCGATACAGATTGAAAATCGATACAAAACTGTCCTCAAGAGGAAAAAAAAGGCAGTTGAGAATAACAGAAAATCTGGTAGTCTCAGAGAAGAGATACCATTTGAATAACAGTTAAGAAAAATTGCTCATTCGGATGACAGCATTGAACCCGAGGTTCTGAGAAGTGCTAGAAGTGTTAAGTATCCCAAATTAGATGCTGCACCAATGTTATCGGAAGAAACCTGCAAGACTGCAGATGCCAATGTAAAGTCGCCAAAGGTGAAAAAGGCTAAAAAGACTAATGAGGATAAAAGATGGGAATATTATGAAAAAAAGGAAGCTGCAAAAGAAAAGCGACATCAAGAAAAATTAAATTTGATACGTAAGCTATTTGCTAAGAAGGAAATGGAGTAATAAAGAAAAAAAATATATCATACTAAATAAAAACACTCAAAAATAAAACAAAAAAAAATGGATATAACATAATAACTTTAAAACTGTTAACTATATATGAATATTAAAAACATGAGGTTCCTAAAGCCGGTACTTTGACCGGTATTTTTAAAATAATATAACGTACTCGATTTATTGATTTAACTCGACTCCAAGTCAAATGGTGTCTGTTTCGCTGCGAAAGAAGAGCTAAATCGTACAAGAAATGCAGCTTTAAGAAATTGACTCATAGTCGGATAATCGAGTCAGTAAATCGAATACGCTATAAGTAATTCTATGTTTATGTTTTTTATAATAGCGATTTCGGCTGGTATGCACTAGTGTGCACTGGTGCATATAAAGGCCGTTGTACAATCCCAAGCAGAACAACAAGTCATTATAATATCAAAATGATGTCAAAATGACTCCAAAATGATCACTAAAAGTCATTTTTCAATCATTTTGATGCCATTTTGACGTTATCGTGACATCATTTTGACGTTGTTCTGCTTGGGAACAGTGTACAACGACCTTGATATGCACCAGTGCACGTTGGTGTTACCAGCCGAAATCGCTATAATTTTCATCATTTTTTTATGATTAAAATTCTTTAGAGATAATTGTCGCAATATTTAAAAGTATTAACTAATTAGTATTCATTATCTTAACGTTACAAGAGTTCTTTCATTTATCGGTATTTAAGAGAGTTCTGTGATTCAATATACTATATTAAGAGAGTTCTGTGATTCAATATAAAATATAAATTAAAGTCATGCATTTAATATAATTGTAAGTCGATAAGTGATTCTTTTTAAGAAGTTATAGGATAAAATAAATATTCTGTTGCACATTTATAAAATAATATACTATAATGCGGGGTCTATAATAGAAGTCGTAGCGGTCGTAGAGTCTTAAGTCATAGAAAATTGACCAATCGCAATCGAATATGAAAAGAATAATCGACTATGATTGGTCAATTTTCTACGACTTAAGACCCTACGACCTCTACGACTTCTATTGTAGACCTCGCACAAGTGTTACAAAGAGATTCATAATATAAAATAAACAATGCATTATAATATTATTTATCTGAATGTTAAGAAAGTTATTCTTATATGTACGAAAGGTAAATAAACGAACAATAATAATAATAATATAATTTTGTATATATCGCATTGCGTTTTATTTCACGGAAACATTACATTCAATAGTTCATTTCTTTTTATTTCTCCCAATCTTCGTAATAGAACTTCCTGCTCTACTCTAACTTCTTCATTGGATTCGTCATTATTGTCTACAACTTCGAATTCAAAATTAAAATCATCGTTGTTATCAATACATAAGTTATGTAAAACACAACAAGAAATAATGAATTTTGATATTTTATCAATACTATGAAGATGTAACTCCGTGAGTTGCCGAAAACGGCCTTTTAATAGTCCGAAAGCATTTTCAATCAATACTCGTGTCACACAGAACCGTTTATTGAATTCACGTTCTTTATTCGTTAGATTTCCGTAATCTTTATAGGGAACCAATAGCCATTCTCTTATAGAGTATGCTGCATCTCCCAGTATGTGATATTTGCTTTCACATATTACTGGTAAAGACTCATTGATATCCGATAGTTTTAAAACACGTGAGTCGTGGATTTTTGCTGGAATACCAGTAAAGACGTCAATAAACCTTTCATTAGCATCGCATATACCCTGTAGAGTAACTGAAGAAATGTCATGTCTATTCACATAAGTAGATTTGATTTTATGTGCTGGTGTTCTCACTTTAATTGATGTACCATCGATAATGCCCAGTACATTAGGAAAACCTGCAATCTTAAAATTATGTATGCTTTATACAGAGTTGAGAATGTTAAAAAATGTTGAAAACAGTAATGACATTACGAGTAATACGGTTCTTTGCAATACTGGCTTTATGTATTATAACATATAAATATAACATTGCATCAACATACTTGTGAGAACTCGTTTGCAGAGCGTTCTTTATTCTCAGAAAATTTGATTATCTGTGGAGCCATATCAATTAAAAAATTTACTACTCGTTCATTTTGTCTGAAAGATGTTGCAGGACATACCCCAATCTTTGAGAGACATCTCTATGACATACTTTATTTCCAGCGAACCTATATATATAGAGAGATATTAATATACCTACCTGCCGTGAATACCTATAGGTC